TAATGTACAGTATGTGGAAAATAATGTGTTTTTTGAACCTTAAACCGCATAAACACATTTCGTTACACCAAATACACAAAATAATGTTCTTTTCAGCAGCATCATATGACCCCTTTAATGACGTTTTTGCTCCAAATTCATTTCATAACATCAGTCGAGTGTTTGAAATAACTTCCTTTTGTGATCTGACATGGTTTAATGTCACAGAATGAGACAAAATCACTTTGTAATATTCTATACCGTGATAAAGGCTATGTCGATTAGCATTGCATTATAAATATACATTATGCATATAAAAAAGATATTAAAGATACACCATTTAGTCACAATCGGGGGTTTATTGTCTTCATTCTTCATCCATTAAAACGTCCTATCTGCGTTTTATTCAGCTACTGCAGCAATAGCATATGCCTTTGTCCATATTAGGGATTTCCTCCAACGTGATTTTTGTGAATATTGCATTTTTTCACTTTTTTTAAATTTTTTCCCTTATTTGGGTAAAAATAGGAAAAATAATACTTCTAAGATTTCTCCAGTGTAGAGGAGTTTTTTTATCCCCTCTCTCTCTCTTTATTAATTATTAGTAGTCTATATACAGGTGCATCTCAATAAATTAGAATGTCGTGGAAAAGTTCATTTATTTCAGTAATTCAACTCAAGTTGTGAAACTTGTGTATCTACAAACAGGCACAGCTAACTTAGTGTTATTTATAATTTCTGGCAAATAACAAAAAAGTTTATCTGAAAACTTTTCTAGTTACAGTTCAGATTTTGTGTGCAGATTTTGTTGGTTCAGATTTTGGAATTGAAATGAAAGAATGATAGAGAGAGAGATTAAAGTGAAATTGTAATAGAAATGGAATCCAAATGGTATCTTTATGGAGCCGAAAAAAGGGATGTTCTGACTGCTATACTGTACATAATATTTATTGCTTTAGTATTAGTATTTGTTTTATAAATGCAATGATGTCCACGATCACAGACAGACTTGTTATACGTTTAAATTGCTATGACAATTTTTACACTAGTGGGGCCTATTTTCGTTATCTTGCCTAGGGCCCCACAACCCTACGGGCCGGCACTGCTTGCAACCCCTTCAACCAGAACTATATTTACAATAATGGAACTATCCGATTTATAGTAGTGAAGGAGGGGTTTTCACAAACAATATGTGAACAACTGACGTAAAAGAGCTAAAGAATCATCACAAAGCCTCTTTAGATCCAGTTAGACTTGCCCTGCATGATGAATCATTATCATCTGGGATGTTGTACTTTAATATAACAGTTTTATCTCTTCCAGCTAGATCCTCAAGACTACTCGTCATACTTGACATCATATGCATGATAGTTCCTCTTTATGCCATAGGAGTGCAGACCTATATCTGGGAGCAGAGGAGATGGAAATGGGAGCCAGCAATAACAAGCCACCCAAACCACTGCTGGAGCTCACAAGTATCAAAGAAAGCACATTGTGTTCACGTGTCAACTGTCATTCTGACTCATCTGACAAATGGAGTTCTGGTCCAGAGATATTCAATTCTATGAATAAAGTTCGATACTTTACAGATCATTTTTTGGGGGATTTCTAGGCATTGTATTTCCAGGGTCTGGATTTTCATATATAATGCATTACATTTTGGTTTGTTTTTCACCAAACCCTATCGTTTACTTTTCCAAGTCAAGTCACTTTTATTTATATAGTGCTTTATACAATACAGATTGTGCTAAAGCAGCTTTACAGTTTTAAACAGTAAAATATTTTTTAAATAGTGCAAACAAAATTCAATTCTGCTGTAAAGCAGCTCTAAAAAGAGAATAAGATTAAACAGTCAATTTTCCAGTTAAAGTAAGTTCATCGCTGATTCAGTGACGTCAATGTCCAGCTCAGTTCAGTTCAGTCGACAGTATTGCCAAATAATTAGTGTCCTCAACTAAGCAAACCAAAAGGCTACAGTGGCAAGGAACCCAAACTCCATCGGCAGGGCCGGATTTACGCTTAGGCATTATAGGCACGTGCCTATGCTCGCTCGTCCAGGGGGGGGTCCAAACACAATGAAGAGATATAATATTTTGTTATACTATGGGCTACCTACAACAATAAAAGAACCAAAACCTCAGAAGACATTGAGCAAATAAATATAACAAACAATAGTGTAAAAAATGACAAAAATATTTCCATGTCTTCCATGATCTGTCTTCCTGCTTTCTCCGGTTCTCTCTACGTCTTCCACCTTTTTTATGTACGGAAATCGCGCTTTCTCCGGTTCTCTCTCATATACGCACGCACTCGCGCACACACGCTGACAGAAACTTGTCGTCAACGCCGCCCCGTGAATTTATCAATAAAATAGTTTGCAGCTGAAAGCTACAAGACATTTCTCAGTAGGGAGGTTCTTGAAGCACTTTAACTTAAAGATTCGCTACTAGTAGATGCTGCTGCTGAACACTGCTGAGAGCCACACAGACGCATGGTATTCACACGTGCTTAATCTCTCTCTCTCTCTCTAATAACTGCATTAGACTGCATTAATAACTGCATTAGCCTGCATATCAATGGCTCAAGCCTCTGTTATTAGCTCTAAAATGACGTTTTGGAATTTGGTTTGGGATGAGGTGCTTAAAAAATTGTTCAACACATTTCAGGATGGAAACATGTCAAATATCTTGAAACAAATCATCTGAACAATGTCTTGATATGTGGTTGTGACTCCTGGCCTTTAAAATTATTAGAGAAATAACTCCCGAAGTGGTACGCCACGCCTATTAATGGAATGGTCTTTCTGAGTTCTCAAACAAATTAGAGCTACATTCGGTTTTTATTGACTGAACGCAAGCGCTTATTGCGATAGAAAACACTGTAACGTTTCCACTGATTAAGAAATATTTTTGTTTGCTTGGGTGGTAATATTAGGCCTATTATATTAATAGGGAAGGAAGGCCCAAAAATGTGTTTTGCCTATGTCACAAAAAGAAGTAAATCCGGCCCTGCCAATCGGTGACAGAAACAGTTGCAAAATACGGCACGTGTCACATTTCATTCTTGGGTAAATGATCCCTTTAAGGAAATGTATAACAGACAAATCATTGTGAAAATGTGAAAGGTCCAAAGGTTTTCTGTATCCAGATGAACATCTCATTGGTTATTTGCCATTATTTGTTTTTCTTCTTGTCTAGTTCCTGGTATAGAGACCCGATGCAGCTTAGCACCAGCTGTGGACATACTGGCCTACAGTGAGAGAGAATGGAAGGGAAACACGACCAAAAGCGATCTCATCAGAAAGGTGACCTAACTAACTTTGCCATATTTTTTTCCTGAAATGTATTTAAAGTATGCTATTGATTTTTTGATTGACATGTCTGTGCTTGTTTAAGAAGTTTGACTTACTTCAGTGTGTTTGTTTAAGGGCTATAGTGAGATGTCCCGTAGCTTTAGCGGTCTGAGGAGAGCCAGAGGCGATAACTACTGTGCCCTACGAGCCACACTGTATCAGGTGCTGGCAAACAGCACAAATATGCCCACCTGGCTGCAGGATGAAGGCTTTCTATTGGTGAGGAGACCTCTGTACTCGTAATAACTTCAGTCAGGGTAGACACCATATGTAAGTTGACTTTAAAGTGACTTTAAACCCCTGGAGCTGTCAAAAGTGTCAAAGCGCGTCATTTTGTAGATTTTAGCTGACAAATAAACCTCTAGATCCTGGGTGCAGGTAACATGGAGAAAGAGTACTGATTGTTCGTTTGCGTCAGATAACATATGGCTTCTACCCAGACTAAGGTTTATAAGCTGACAGTAGGAATGTTAACATGCAATTTTCATCAGTCAGAATGAATCCAGTCCGATTTCACATTCTTAAAGTTCTGATTATATGAACTGTAAACATAGCAATCCGGTTCACATATTTGTTTACATGTGCATTACTTGTATTTCATACACAACTTTACTGCATGCGTATTGCCCAGTCGTTGCATGCAGAAACAGAGGAGGTCACCATATAATGTCACCAGAGCAAACGTGAGCATAATTAAAGCTTTTGCCTTGACACTGCTAAAAAAAAAAAAGCTTCAATATATGAGAAGAGTTTATATAAACAAATGTTCAGTAAATATTCCGTTTCATGAACTTGAGCAGTTCACAAGACATGAAACATAAATAAACACTTTTTTTAAATTGTATGACATAACACGTATGTAAACATACACATCATGACACAGGTTCTATATTTTTTGATTCTGATTGAGAAAACGGTCAGATTCAAATGTTTATATGCTTAATTTTTGCCTGTGGATCAGATTATTTCAGGTCTATACCACCCCTTTCAATTCATTCGGATCAGTTGAGGTGTTTACATGAAGACTTTTCAGTCCAATTGAGCCATCAATCTGATTAGAAACAAATTATTTGGATGTGTGTAAACGTAGCTAATGTATGTGTTGTTTTTTTAGCTCAGATTAACAGCTGCTGGTTATTCTCACAGTTACCAGAGAGGATTGAAGCTCAGGAGCATTTGATTGCTAGATGGGTGTTTCCTTCTGAATGCAAGTCAGGAAGTGAGAAGGAAAGTTCTGTGGAGAGACTGAAATGTTATTTGGATCTCCTTAAGAAGAAGGTGAATCTCTTTTTTTCTGATGTGCATTCCATATATCTTATTCAAACATAAAATAGATTAAGTACGTTTTTTTTTTAAGAAATGAATTGTCATCTATTAAATTAATCAAAAGTGACTGTAAAGACATTTAAAATAATTGTAATAAAAATATATTATTTCAAATAAATGCTGTTTTTTTATCGTATTAAACTTTATTATGAAAGCCAGTTCCTACCACGGAATAAAAAAGGTAATTACAGCCTTTTATCTCACAATTCTGACTTTATATTGATCACCATTGTGAGTTAACATCTGGCAATTCTAACATTTTGTTGTTTTCATAAATGGAATGCATGCAATCTCATATTACTTTCACGAAATGAATATTTTGTTCATGAAATGCATTTTGTGATTGATACAGACCCTTTTGTTCACCAATATCAAGCTCATTTTTTATTTATTTAAAGTCCAGTCAAAATTGATTCATGATTCATTATTGATTTAGTATTATATGCAGATTTCAAACATCACTTGGTTGCATCGGACAGGCAATAATACAAAATATTAATTTAATAGTAAATAAATGAAAATAAACAGTAGTGTATTATTGCATATACTACAGTATTACACAGCTGATAGTGATTGGTCAATCACAGCAATTAGTGTACATTATCCTCTACCAAGTAAAATTCAGCTTCTTTTTAGTTTAATTAGAGAAAATATCATGATCATTTCTGTGTTTTCATGCATTTGTATATTGTATTTGCTTTTAATTCAGTGGCAGGCAGCAGTGGCCTGTGAGAGCCCAGAGGAGAAGCACAATTTGTGTGAGCGTGTGTTTCAGGGAGGAGAAGAGGAGTATGGTCTTTTGGAAGCACTAAAGTTTCTAATGCTGGCCAAAGCTGTTGAGCTTCATCAAAACATGATGGCAGATCAAGAAGTGCCTGTGTTCTGCTGGCTTCTTTTTGCCCGCGACACATCAGAAACCCCCCAAACCCTCCTAGCCAATCACCTGAGCCAGATCGGCTTCAGTGGAGGGGTAGAACAGGCAAGTATGATGACACTGACAAACCTACAGCTCTGTCTCTCTATTATTCAATTTGAAGACACCTGCTTTAATATATACTGGCAAAAAAATACAATTTGAAAATGTATGTTTGCTTTGTTTGTTGTAGGTAGAGATGTTTCTATTGGGCTATGCCTTAAAGCACACCATTCAAGCCTTCCGACTATATATGACTGACACAGACGAATTTGTGACACATTACCCAGACGACCACAAGCAGGAGTGGCCCTGCGTGTGTATCGTCACAGAGGACGATCGCCATTACAACGTCCCTGTCAGGAGGAGCGTTCAGCACCAGCACAGAGAAGATATCACGATGACCTAACAGAAAACTCAGAGAACAAATCTGATCTACAAAGTGGCATGATGTTTGTTTTTTTGATAATGATCTGTAGGTCATCCCGTGAATAAAAAGATGAAGGGAATTTACAGCAGTCTACCAAGATCAAATTGCAAGCAGAAGTGCTCAGGTTTTTCCCCTAAATGAATCAGAGCTAACATCAGACTGTCAGGAAATGCTGTGATGATTAACACTGGTTCAGAAAGGGGGAAAAAAAAAAAACCTTACTGCCTTTTTACTTTAATCCTGTTATTTTTTGTATTATGCACTGTTGGAAATTGTGTTGATTTACATTGCCAATGTAAAAAAAAAAAAATACTAAAGCGTTTACAATAATAATTTTAGAGAATTTTTCATTCAAAAGAATGTATTGTGGGTATAGTACGGGAAATGAGATAGTGGTCTAATCGCTGTACTTCAGATTTATGTTGTTTCAGAATATAAAACATGTAGAAAATAGCCATGAGCATTTTTTTTTTTTAACAAAATACAGTCAGATATGTCGGGTCATTTTTCTAAATATTGTTACATAGAAATGGAAAAGTTTCCCGTACTGGTTTAGATTTTATTTTTATTTTTTTGCCGCCATAATATTTAAATGAGGCTCTACACATAGGCCTGTCACGATAACAACTTTTTGTTATGCGATATATTGCCCTAGAAGTAATTGCGATAAGCGATATTATTGTCATTTTAAAGACCATTTTATGCCACTGATTATATAATCATAATGTAACAGCATAATAATGCAAGAAGGCCTGCACACTTCCAAATGACAACAAACTTTTAATTTGTAATATTTTGATCATGGAAATTAAGTATCAAAATATTAGATACCTGTAGAAAGTATAGAATATATTTTTCCCTTTACACCTTGAATATGTGTGAGTGTACACATTCTGATTATATTTAATTGTTAATATTTATTATATTTCAATTTAATTTCTTCAGAATATGGATAAATCTTGGGGTGTATTCAAACCTGTCTTGTTTGGTTCAATTGAATCAAACTCAAGTTTGTTTCCCCCCCTTGGTGCGGAAATTTTTGGCAGGTGTGAATACAGCAATAGCACTCTGGTGCGGATCAAACAACCGTACCGAGACCCAGCTGAAGAGATGGTCTCGGTCTGGTTCCAAATGAACTCTAGTACAGTTTCTTTTAAGGTGTGAATATGTCCCGACCTCGATCTGACCCAATTGCAGAAATCATGCTCGGAAACAGACAGCTCATTGCGACAGGCCTATCTACACACAATATTGTCAGTTTTTAAATTAGAGCACTTAGACTCTAGTAGTCAGAATAACTATTGTTGCCCTCATGTTATGTTTACATGTAACAATAATGTGCATAAATCACGTTAGCAGACAACTGGTGATATAGATGCCAAGAAGAGTTCAAGACAGCTTAATATTTAGCTCATTGTGGAGTGAAGCAAAAGTACTGGCACTTTTTATTTTGGTGGTATTTTCTTTTGTTGCTCATCTGAATTTTTGTATTTATGACTGACAGATTAACACTGACTAACTTTATTGCCAAACATACAATGTTATACAGTATTATGTATAATTCTAATTTTTCAAGAACTGGAAGACAAAATCTTTTGAGGAAATATGAATAAATTATTCTATGACTCTATTCAGCCTCTCTCTTTTATATGCACAAAACACAAGAAATGCGAAAAAGAACAGCTTAGCACAACATTTGTTTAATAGCCATAATGCATTCATATGTGCTTGGTTTATTTGTATGTGCTGACATTCAGTTAGACCACAATCACAGAGTAACATAAGCGCCTAAAACAGGACCTAAAAATGGCCAAAACCTACATTCCATTTAGTAATTTGCAAAATAGACATTGAAAGTGAAGCGTACCATAAATTTCTAAGATCTGGAAAAAAAAATGGATTCTATAATGTGGTCCCAGCACAAAATATTGGATCAGATCAAATCTAATCAGAAATGATCTCTTCATGCATTCACAAAAGCTCAAATAAATAGTCTTTTATAGAGAAGTTATCTTCAGACTTAAATGTCTCAATGGCATTTGCAAAGTATACAAAACCTGAATTTGTGCAGTGAATACAAAAATAAAGCAACTGACATATACAATCAAATCTAGTCTGTGCCCCAAGTCAGTAAAATAAATTCCTCTTGAACAAGTTATAATACACTCAAAGTGTAACTATTCATTGTGCGTCTCAAGGCAAAAGGGAAACATTCCCAGGGTAAATAGGTCAGATAACAGTACAGTCATTAAAACATCTTTTAAGCCCGTTCTTTATGCATTCTTTCTCCAAGGATTTTTTTCTGATTGTAAGGGTCTATTTTGGCAAAAATGTTTACAGGCTGCAGAACATGAACTTTGGAAGACATCTGTGTAAATATGCCTCAGTGCAAAAAGTGCAGGAGTGCATTTTATGTAGACATGCAAATCTGCTCATCCTACCCCAAACAAGCATCGATCAATCTGACAGTCCCACTGGGGTAATGGAGAGATTGTAGAAATGTAAAAAATAATAACAATATAATGATAAAGTACTAGTACTAGTTAGACTCTCATCGTCAAAAATCCAAAACATTGTACAGCAAATGAAAGGAAAACATGTATCTTCCATCCTTGTTTTTCTTTCCATGCCTAGATTCATTCATCTTCTGTTTCCATCTGCTCATTCTCAGCCTCTTCAATGACATCTAACTCTGTCCTGGAGGTGACTTCATTCATCGGGGAAGAGTTGTCCTCCACAACCATTTCTGCTTCTGGGGTTTTCTTCTGAAAACAGACCGCAAGACTGATAAATATTGCAGAATAGATACGAAACGTTTAAAAGTCAAAAGGCATGTTTTAGTAACACTTTAGATTAGGGAGCACTATTCACTATTAACTAGTTGCTTATTAGCATGCATATTACTAGCATATTGGCTGTTTATTAGTACTTAAAAAACATATTAGCCTTATTCTGCATGACCATATTCTAGATTCCTTAACCCTAAACACATAATTATTACAACAACTATCTTACTTCCTATCAATAAGCAGCAAATTAGGAGTTTACTGAGGGAAAACTCTTAGTTAATAGCAGTGTTAATTTTGACAGCACATTTTGATTTAGTTTTACTCATAGTCTTTTGACTAAAATGCCATTTCGTTTTAGTCATATTTTAGTCATCTGAATTGTTTTTAGTTTTAGTCTACAGTAAATTTAGTCGGCTAAAATCTAATGGGTTTAGTTACAGTGCATTTATTAAGCATTTCTCTAAAAT